ATATCAATGAGTACAACCATCATAATGATCCGTTTTCTTGATCTTATCATGATTCTTGTTCAAACTTGTTCGTATCGGGTTTCGAAGCACGCGAATTTGGGTGGCTTCTTGTTGGAGGTTGATATTGAATAAAATATATTTTGATGTAAAAAATGACTTCATAGACTTCATGGAGAAGGCAGTGAAGTCGGTGGGATGGTAGGATAAGAAAATAGTGGCAATGGCAGTAGCAATGGTAGATGACTATTTATTATTTGTTAAAATTTGAAACTTATTGGGGTATATGGTGTAATTATCACTAAAATAAATATTTTCAAGTCTTATCTTTTCACACAACATTCTACTTATTATTGTTGTAGTTTTTCCCAAATTCTAGGAGTTTTAGAGTTTTGGTTGAAGTGGTGTTGAGGAGATCAAAATTATAGACTAGAAAGAAAAGTAGCCGTATTTTTGCTAGTTTGCTGCTCGAGCTGGGTCTACATATTTTCTCTCGAGACTTGTCAATCACTTGGGCTCGAGCGACTAAGTTTTCATCTACCTACCACTAGCTTATCTCTTGAGTGACAGGGTTATTCGACTTAGTCCCATTTTGCGTTTTCTGGACTCCTAATTATTTACAACTTATTTTCTAGGGCTATATATATACATATATAAAGCCACAACTTGTATTATTGAGAGAACAATTCATACAATATCTTGAGAGCTTAGATCCTATCTGAGAGTATTGGGATCTTGTCGTAAACACAGGTGCTATTAATTAGAGTGAAATTCTCCTTCCCATTTTAGGTTTTTATATAAATTTTGGTGTTCTTATTACGTTCTTATTTATTTCATTATTGTAATTATTTTGTGATCAATTCATAAGAAGTGGTATCAGATCAATGTTGATTATTTCACACAACAATGATTAAATACGACATTCTGTTATTGAATCAAAACATGAGATTTACTTTATAGCAAGTGAATATGAAAGTGGTTTTCATCGAATGTCCGAAGGTATGCCATTGGATGATTATTTAATTATGTTCAAAAAAAATCGTGACCGATTTGGATACATTGGAGGTTAAGTATGATGACGAGGACTTGGTGTTGATGTTGTTGTATTTGTTTCCGCTATCATATGTGACTTTTAGATACTATTCTCTATAGTCGGGATACTCTCACTGTGGATGAGGTCTATGATGCTTTACTGTCCAAGAAGAAAATAAGGCATCTTACAAGTGGATCTGTGATTCAAGCTGAAGACCTTGTTGTTCATAGGAGAAATCAAGATAGGAATTTTGGTAGAAACATGAGTGGCAGGTAGAAATCCAGACATGCAGAGAAAATGTGTCAATACTATAAGAAAAAGGGATATATTCGAGCTAATTTCTATGCTTTAAAAAATAGAAAAAAGGGTGCTATTGCTACTGATAAAGGAAAACAACCTAAAAATACATCAGAGGCTATGTTGCGGAAGATAGGCAAAGTGAATGAGAGCTTCTTGTAATTTTTGACATAGGTTCCAAACATTGTGGGGAATGGGTTCTTCACTCGGCCTATACTTTTCATATGTGCCCAAACAATGACTGATTTACAACATATGAAGGAATTTTGAGAGGTGTAGTGATTATGGAAAATAAAATGCCTTGCAAAATTGTTGGAGTTGGTACAATTAGAATGTTCGATAGGGCTATTAGAACACTTACAGATGAAGGTACGTTTCAGAACTGAAGTAGAATCTTATATCTTTGAGCACATTTGACTCAAAAGGTTATAGAGCTTTTGAACATTTTGCAGGTTCCACGACTACAGTGCATATAATTGCGAATGGTATGGTAGAATTGGGTAGGAGGAAAATTTTTGATGGCTAAAGACCAGAAAGATGAAGTTTTGTAAATATTGTGTATTTGGGAAATAGAAAAGAATTAGATTCTTAAAAAAAGACACAATATGAAGGAAACGCTTAAATATATTCATTTAGATCTTCGGGGACCAACGATAGTGCCTACTAAATGAGGTGCTTATTATTTGTTGACAGTAATTGATGATTTCTACAGACAGTTTGGTTATTCTTCTTGAAACAGAAGAGTGATATGTTTGAGACCTCCAAAGAGTAGAAAACAATAATAGAAAAGCAAATAAAATGTCTATGTAAAGATAATGGGTTGGAATTTTGTTCAGATGAATTCAATAGCTTCTGCAGGACTAAGACGTATTGAGACACATGACAGTACTTGAAACTCTGTAACAAAATAGTGTGGCAGAATGGATGAATAGAACTTTGATGAAAAAGGTTTGTCATATGCTTTCAAATTTTGGTTTGCCTAAGACCTTTTAAGCTAAAGCTACTACTAGAGCATGTTCTCTGATTAATTGTTCGCCTACAGTTGCTATTGAAAAAAAAAGGATACTAGAAGAGATAAGATTTGAAAAGCCTTTTTATTATTCTGATTTGAAGATCTTTGGGTATCCTACTTATGCTCATGTTGATAACAGGAAGTTGGAGCCTAAGTCTAGAAAGTGTATTTTGCTTGGGCATAAATTAGGTGTGAAGGGGTATAAATTGTGGTGTCTTGAGATAGGAATGTGGTGGTTAGAAGGGATATAGTGTTTCATGAACTTGCTATGGTTCATGGTTTGCCTCGTAGGGATTCTGGTAAAATTGAGGAACATAATCATTCAACATAGGTGGAGTTAAAAATTGGTCAGAAGAACAACCAAAAGCTTCAGAACAGTCCACTTCAAATTATTCTAGTCCAGAGCTAACAGACAACAACACTTTGCCTATATCACGAACAACACCACAGCATTCGATTGAGTGGGACTGGCATTATTGATTCTACCGAGGAACTTGCTACATATTCAGAGGCGATCAGCTGCAATAATTCTAACAGATAGTTGAATCCTATACAGGAAGAAATGATGTCATTGAATAAAAATAGTATTGGTGACTTCGTAAAATTACTTAAAAGATAAAAAGGTTGTTCACTGCAAGTGGGTATTCAATAGGAAGGAAAGGACGTCAAGGATCAAATATTGAAGGTACAAAGTCAGATTTGTAGCAGAGGGCTACAATCAGATTCTAGATGTTGACTTCACAGATGTGTTCTCACCACTTGTAAAGCATAGTTCAATTTGAAATTTACTTGGGGTTGTGGCTAAGAATGATTTAGAGTTTCAACAAATTGATGTCAAGACAACATTCTCTTATGGAAAACTTAAATAGATCATTTACATGCAACAACCAGAGAATTTCACAGTTTTTGGAAATGAAGACTATATTTGCTTGTTGATTAAGTCCTATATGGACTGAAGCGTCACCGAGGCAATGGTATGAGAAATTTGACTCATTCATAACTACTCATAATTTCACTAGAAGCAGTTGTCATAGTGTTGTGTACGTCAGAAAGGGAGTTAGTGGATCGATTACATATCTACTGTTATATGTTAATTGTATGCTTATAGTAACAAATGATATAAGTAGAGGTCGGAAAGGTAAATGTTTGCTTTGTGAGGAGTTTGAGATGAAAGACTTAGGTACAATAATGAAAATTCTTGGTATGAAGATCTTGAGGGATGTGAAAGCTATCTGATTGTATTTGAGTTAGAAGGGGTACATTGAGAAGATGTTTCATAGGTTTAATATGGTGGATGCAAATACTGTCAATACTCCCTTAACTACCCACTTTAAATTATCATCTTGCTTGTGTCCTCAGTTAGATGAAGACATTGATTATAAATTTCGGGTTCCTTATTTTAGTGCAATTGGTTCACTAATGTTTCCTATGATTTGTACAAGACCAGATTTGGCACGTGCAATTAATACAATTAGTAGGTATATGGCAAATCCTGACAAAGAACATTGAAAAGCAGTGCAGTGGATATTCAGATACTAGATGGCTCTTCTAATGTTTGCTTGCATTTTGGTAGAAATACAGATAGAGTTATTGGGCATATGGATTCAGATTATGTTGGAGATTTTGATAAGAGGAGATCACTTACATGGTATATGTTTACTTTTGGAGGTTTCACTATTAGTTGAAAAGCTACTTTGCAGAATACGGTAGCATTGTCTGCAACAGAGGCGGAGTACATGGCCATTTAGAAGCATGTAACGAAACTATGTGTTGAGGGGATTGATTAGTGAAATCAGTGAAGACTTGTAAATTTCTACAGTGTATTATGATAGTTAGAGTGCTATCTTTTTGACTAAGAGTCGGATGTTTCTAGACAGCACTAAACACATTTATATGGTACCATTTTATGTGTGAAGTGATGGTTGACGTTGTTCGAAAGGATCAAAATTATGGACCAAGAAGAAAAGTTGTTGCATTTTCACTAGCATTCTGCTAGTTGGCCGCTCGAGCAGCACCTGCATATTTTCTCCCGAGACTTGTCACTCGCCTGGAACTCGAGTGGCTGAGCTATCACCTGCCTACGCCTAACTTGTCCCTCAAGCGACAGGATTATCTAGTCCAAGCCCGTTTCACCTTTTGACGTATTTTTTGGACTCCTATTCATCTACAACTTGATTTCTCAAGCTTGTATATATAAGCCATAACTTGTATTATTGAGAGAACAATTCATGCAACGTTTTGAGAACTTTAGATCTTAATTGAGAGTACTAGGATTTTGTTGTAAAGATAATTGTTATTGATTATAGTAAATTTCTCCTCATCTGCCTGTGATTTTTTCTCATCTTGGATTTACACATAAATCTTGGCGTTCTTATTGTGTTCCTGTTTATTTCATAATTGTCATTAACTTGCGATCAATTTATAACAATTACAAATAGCCGCCACCTGTTGGAAATCCATCCTTTTTACATTTCATAATTAATAACCCTGCACTTTTCGCATTCATAAAAATCTTTTTCAAAAAGAGAGTACATAAGTACTCTCGTCTGGTTGCCCTCATGATTCGTAGCGTTACTATCACGAGAACTGATTGTTGAATCTTGGAACACGATTGTATCAAATTGTAGACCCACTGCGAGGTCAAACTCTTGCTTCGAAAAAAATTTATTAATCTACAATTTTTATTATGACATTTTTCCTGATAGGTGGTAGTGCAATCCGACGCCTAGAGTATATTTTAGTACACTGTAGAATGTTATTAGAATCCCGATAAATGACATTTTCTTAACTTACCAAATTTAGCTGAGAAGAAATGGGAGAGAATTTTTAAATCAGCTTGAAGGAAGTGAGAATACAGTCGGATGATCATTGCAGATTCTGGATGAACTAACTCAAAACTTCGTAGTGTTTTATGATTTGTTTGGATGGACTAAATATAATATCATATGATTTCTAAGTGCTACTCAAAAAAGTAGAGTTTTTACCCTGATCTACCTATATGAACTCCTCTACCATGTCCCCAAAATGAAATTTTCCATTGCAGCATTCCACTGCACTTACCACTTCTTGAAATGCAGGGACGCTGCATGGTACAACCAAGCCATTTCTTTGCTCGAAACCAAATTCATTGTAGGCCTTCTCTAACAACATCTTGAACAAAGGGTGAGACAAGTAACCAGTTGGCACCATGAACCGTTGTCTCTCCTCGCCTACGTATACTGCAAAAGTTCCTGGTGGCGTCTTCGTGGATGAGGGGGATCCTCCTCCTTCGTAATTATCTCTTAGCAAACACTCGTTTTTTGATGGATCACGACATTCATTGCCAACGACCTTAATCTTCTTGGCTAGCTTCTTCATCGAACCAATCTTTTTCCCTAGCATTTTTTTGAATTGGAGAGGGTTAAGGGTTGATGAGGAAGAAGAAGAAGGAGATGAAGCTAATGCGAGAGTGGTTTGAGTGTTGCATTCAAGAAAATGGTGGATAGGTGGTTTTGTAGTGTGTTAGGAGCGACATGTTGTAATAGGGTCAGCTTCTGACTTCTAAAAAAGTTGAGAGAGCCTATGATTTTGGCGGTTTCTCTCTCTCAAGATATTGCCTTTATTTATTTTGACTTATCAATAGTTCAGAGCAATTAGACAACTAATTAATGGATATGTAAACATATAAAAAGTCTTATTATTGGATGGTACAACTTACAACTTTTCTCTAGAATTTATAATAGCCATACACGAGACGAAAAGACGCAGCACTACCCATTAATTTTCAATTTCCGCTACATAATTGCATCACAAAAAGATTAAGGCATGAGAGACACAATCTAGATCGTGAAGAGAAAATTTCATTGATTAATAAAACTTCTTAACCCACTCAAGAATATTCTGTAGTAAAGTGGGTACAAAAATGCCACCACAAAGATTGCAAGTCCTAAAGCATGATAAGATATCACTTTAAGCTAAATTTCAAGTATCTTAATTAAATAACCAATATATGTTAGACTAGACAAATACATATCATGAAATTCGTCATTATCGTATAATTTCAATCAACGCATCAAATACATAATAAGGACCAATTTGGATATCACTTTAAGCTAGACTTCAAGTATCTTAATTAAATAACCAATATATGTTAGACTAGACAAATACATATCATGAAATTCGTCATTATCGTATAATTTCAATCAACGCATCAAATACATAATAAGGACCAATTTGGATATCACTTTAAGCTAGACTTCAAGTATCTTAATTAAATAACCAATATATGTTAGACTAGACAAATACATGTCACGAAATTCTTCATTATCGTATAATTTCAATCTAACGTATCATATACATAATAAGGACCAATTTGGCGAGTCATTTGAAAAGACAGAAGTTGTTTCTGAAACTAAGAAGTTTCTTTTGAATATATTTGGATAATCTTCTTACATACTTTGTTTGCCTGGAAGAGATTTTAAAGAAAGTTAAGATAAAATAACTTTCTTTGAACGTTTTTCTACAAGAAGTAGAAGCAGAAGCAAAAGTAGTCGTACCAAACAAATCCAAATATGTTACTAAAAGGGTGAGCCCATGTTCAAGGCAAATATTTGGCCTTGGTTTTAGAATCACACACACATTCACACACCAAACACTTTTCATATATAAACTAACCTACTCAAATAATTAAATATATTATTAATCAGTTTTTAGTTCTCCACTTTTTAAATTCTCATCCTTGATTGAGTAGAACAAAAAATTATGGTTAGCTCTACCCGTTCCATAATTGAACCAAAAGCCAAATTGTATACAAGAGTCAACTTCCTTACAGTCCAAGAGGGGATCTTTAACTTCTCAAACACTAGAGAATCTCCAACTCCCACCTCTATATTTTGAGAAGTTTAGGTGGATGACATGATTCAAGTGGGAAGTTTTAAAGTATTCCACAATATTTTTCTTTAATATTGGTGATAAAATTTAGTCAAACTTCCAACATTTATTTAATGTTTTATATTGAAATTTTGCAAGATTGAAAGAAGAATAGGATTGGAGAATGGTAAGCAAAGACGGCATGTTTTGTACTTGATTGAGGATGTGCATATGGCATGGGTCGTGGTGGTTGACATGCTAAAATTCCATTTCATAATGAGACATGAATTATTAGTGGGTTTTGTCCAAATGGCAATGACAGTCCTCCACAAAACTAGTTGACTTGAGGAGACATGATACTTTGTAAGCCTATGTTCGACTTAAGCACTTCCGATGACAGTCCTCCACAAAACTAGTTGATTTGAGGAGGCATAAGATTATTTTTCTCAATTATGTATGATTATGTTTCTTTATAATTTATTGTGTGATTATAGCACAATTATCCTTTTAGAGTTATTTGTAACTCTTTAAATAGAATCTTCTACTTTTTAATAATGACACAAGTTTATCATATGTTGAACCGTTTCCACTATACACGTTATAAAGACAAGTCGAAGAATGAAAGTTATTTGTATATTATTGTTTTCACGAGTCAATGGTCCCTACAATGTAAACAAAAATTCGGTTTTTATAAGTAAAAATCCAATAACAACCAAGTGTTCTTGTTTTGTTTAGATATCGTTGTATATCCAATTATATATATATATTGTCTGACTAAGTCTTCCTTCTTTCTTGATTTAATTTGAATTTGAGTTTTAGATTAGTTCAAATCATCTTGGTTATGAAGGTTTTATTACGGATTAAAGGTCATCTTAAAGTTAAGTCCATTTAGGGTCCGTTTGATTGATAATATTTTCCATAAAAAATTTGTTTTTTCCATTCAAATTCCTATTTTTTTATGTTTGATTAACATTTTTTCAAAGGAAAACAATTTCCTACTTTTAGACATGTGACCATATTTTTCTCAAAATCAAGGAAAATATTTTCTTTAGGAGGATCATGATTTTATTTTCCAAGGAATCCACTCTCTCATCTATCACTTCTCTCCCATCAACCCACCAAGAAAAAATGGACAAATATAATATTTTATAGGTTGAAAACTAAATCAATCAAATACATTTAATTAATAATTTTCATACAAATTAGTTCCAGGCTTCTCAATTGCCTAAACTTTATTTTCTTTCCATACTCACAATCAAATGCACCTTTAAAATGATCTAATAAAGAATTAAAGTTATTGGGCTCTAGGTATCTAATAAAGGTATGGGCTTAAATATATGTGAAAACCAAAATCATTTGGGTTGTATTTCATGATGGGCTGAAATACAAATGAAAAGACACACATAGAATTATAATCCCCAATGCATATCGAGAAGGAAAGTCTAGAACCCACAACCAAGAACAAGCAATTAAGATCAATAGGCCATAAGCAAGATTACGTAATTTAAGATCCAAAATCAAGATTCGGTAATCAACTCATTTCCAATGGATCAAGGTATAATTCTCTAAGTAATTTGACATAAAGGAACTTTGACAATGTGTTAAAAGGGTTTTCAAGTTCTTGAGATAAATAAAATTTTAAATTCTAATAGGTTGTGCATCTATTAAGTCTTTGTCTAGATTTGAAGGGTTTGTTGCTAGATTTGTATGGGTTCTCGTTCTTCCATCGGATCGGTCGACTTTAGTTTACAATTAATATGGACTATTTTTTGTGCTTCGCTATAATCAATCATTTTTGTCACAATTTTTTTTATTAAAAAAATCAAACTTCTGGTGGAGATTTTCTCCTTTTGTTATGCTAAAAAATTTATTTGGTAGGGACGTTATCTGGTTTCCAATTAAGAATAAACTTTTGGCGGACCAATTCCTTAATTTTTGTTTCTTTTTATTGTTTGTTATTTGAAACAATACATTGACAGACTACTCTCTATCTATTTTCATATGTAAATTATTCGTTGAAGCAGAAGCATTTTGTTGGTTGAGAACTAGGGAGGTAGATTGGCGACAAGCTTATAGTTTTTGTTGGAAAAATAGCTTTTTTGAGCTTAATTTTGGCACAATTTTAGATAGGACCCGTTTGTTTAATTTGGAAGATCAAAGTTGATCCGTGTTTTTCTCCGTGAGAACGTCGAAATCATATGCTTTCTTGCAAAAAAGATAAATTGGTGAATGACAAATTGGAGTTCAAAGTGTACCATTGAAAGATGGTTTATGTTAAGGGGGAAAATAAATTTAAATTTATCCCATATGGGAAGTTGATGAAAGCAACAACCATTTTATATATAGTTATACTTTGGAAGGGTGTAATCATATGTAGTATAGAGACTCTCTCTACATGGGCGCTTAGGGGTGGAAATCAATGACCAAAATTGTACATTGAACCTTGAACTTATGTGCAAACGTTACATACGTACATGAATGTTGGATTGAAGGGAGCAAAAATTGGCCTCGTAGGAATATCCATGTTTTTCTAATTTTTGCTTTTTCCAACTGACTTTTTAACTTCTGAAACTCAAATGATTATTAGTTAATGGATAGATTTATTCACCATTTAACTGAGCTTGCTTTTCCATCATTCAACACCAGAAAAATTACATACTATTTCTTCATAATTTTCAGTTTCAGTTCTCAAGAAATTTTCATTCTTGTCTAAGTCTTGGTGGTGCTGTTCTGACACAAATTCATTCGTCGGAGTATAAATTGAAGTGCTCAGATTCTATTGGTTCTCCGTTGTATCCTAAAAGACAGATGTCAAAACTAAACCTCAAGCACCTACAATAAGGTTCGAATCTATTTTAAGAAAAATATGAGCACACATGCCTCGATTTGCAGATTTATAGTATTTTCAGCGCTTAATATATTTATATAGTTTTCATTCTCTGTTTGTTTATGTTCTTGCTATAATAAATAAAATTTATATTATCCATATTCTTGTAACAAACGTAAAATAGATTCGAAAGTAAGAACAAAAAGATTCATATATTGTTGTTCAAAAACTTATATCATTTGATTTTTCAAAAATGGCAATCGAATTAACGAATATGGATATAACTCAAAATGTGGCTATTGGAAATCAGGTTATGGGTTCTGCTATGGCTCAAGGGCCTGTTCTATTGTGGCTCAAACTGTAACTAAGTTGTCAATTCATACTGCGAGTCAAACTATAGCTCAACAACTAACTAAACTGTTACAGTTCCGGTTAATTATGGAGAAAAATTGAAGAATTCAATTACTTGAATTTCAAGAGGTGGCAACAAAAAATATTATTTTACCTGACCACCTTGAATTTTGCGAGATTCTTAATTAAGACTGCTCTAAACTCAATAAGGGTGAAGAAAATGTTCAAGTAATTAGTGCGCTAAATGCTTGGAACCGTTCAGATTTTTTAAACTATATAATGAATAGCCTGACAGGTTCGCTATTCAACGTTTATAATACGATGAAAACTGCAAAGGACTTGTGGGAATCTTTGGACCAAAAAATTCAAAACAGAGGATGTCGGGACTAAAAAGTTCACTGTCGACAGATTCTTAGACTATAAAATGGTGGACACAAAACTGTAATCGGTCAAGTGGAAGAA